ACCCCCACCACCATTCACTGGCCCTTCAGCTTCATCCCTCTTCACTTTCTCTCATCTCCTCCCAGGCTTCATTAGCTCTGATTGATTCTCCTGTCAGAGCTTATGGCAACGCGATGAACTGCATTATTAGTGGGTGAGAGAAAAAAAAAAAAAAACGGACAGCAGAGAACCACAAAAATATTAACATATCAATGGAAACTCACCCTGTAACGAAAAAGTCCAAACATGAGGACAGTGTAGTCAGAGCGTATATATCTACAGCATCTATATCTACAGCATGTTCCAACGTCTTTGTCCAACTGTAACGATATTGGACTTTTGACCTCATAATACAAGTGTTTCACTCACCCTGAGGCTCATGACCGGAATGTACCAGCACTAAGAACTAGCAGAACTCAGTGGAGAACAGATATATTTGCATTGGATTTTTTTTTTTTTAATTATTAACAAATCTATCTGAGGCAGTTGAAGAGACTTGAACAGAAGTTCTAACTGTCAATGTTGATTCAAAAAGGTAGAAAAAAGAGAGAGAAAAAAAAGATGTCCACAAACACAAAGCTCTATTTATTTATTTTTTTAATGGAAACAGAATCATTAAAATGAAGCCCCGTGTTTGAGAAAGAGTATATGTAATAGTATTTAAATGATGAATTATGCAAGTGTTAGGGTCTCTGGAACAGTGCAGCGCTTGTTATATGTGAATACATAATTTAGACCAAGTGGAGCATGTATTATATTTTTTTTCTCGTGTACCCAAAGATAAAGTAACCACACAGGGAGCCTTGCTATACTATTTACTTTTTTTTTTCAAATATTTCTACATACATAATAACCAGGAACTGCTGTATTTTGCAGTATATTTTGCACATCTATGTTTGGTGTCTGTCGAATACAAAACAAAGTGTATTTCTCTGATCTACGTCCAAACTTAGATTCAAGAAAATGACACTAAATCCTTTCACTGACACAGTTTTTAAGTCTGGAAGAATTTGGTTCATTTACCAGCGGATCAATAAACATTTCACATGGTCCATGAGTTCTGGAACCAGGTCTTCATCTTCATCTTCATCATCATGTCAGCTGTGTGTATAACAATCCCATTAGTCAGAGGCGTAAATTAAACAGACACAACAGGAGACAGGGCTCTTCAGTCACGTGGTCACCTCCTATTGGACGATGGACATTTCCTCCTCTTAACCTGATTAAATGTATATGATCTTAAACACAAAAACCCCTGAGACAAAGATCTAATGGTCTATGAGACCTTTTGACCCTGACATCCGACGTCCAGTTGTCTGCCTGGTTCGATGGCGTCCTAAACCATCGAGGATTTTTATCGTCACTTCTTTGGTTGTTCATCTTCCCGATGATAAATGTTTAATCTAAAAGGCTAAGGAAAAGAACGACACAATTTTGGCTTGACTTTGACGGCTGCCTCTGGAGATGGTTGATCATCTTGTGAAGATGAACTTCAAAAGGCAACATCAAAGACACTTCAACCTGTACAGGTTGGAAGTATAAAGTAAAGGACTGACAATCCTTTACTAAAGTTGGGGCTGCATCACTTCTGCTGTAGGGGTCTCAACCTCTGAGCTGGGGGACCGCTGTGGTCACCGTCACTTTGTTGGAGGGCCACACCAGTGTTTGTTATTCACCACAAAAAAAACAAACAAAAAAAACATACATTTTGTACATAAAAAATGAATGATTATTTTGAATAATAATAATAATAATAATAATGAATGATTTTTTAAAATCTATTTCTGGGTCAGATTGAGGGAGAAGAGTCAAAATTATTTTTTAAATCTATTTCTGGGTCAGATTGAGGGAGGTTTCTGGGCTGAAAGTGTCCCCTGAGCCAGGAGTTTGAGACAGCTGGAAATGTTTCACTTTGTCATCTCTGAAATAAGTTGATTTATTTTCCAACACAAATGTGTGTTTTCATATATTTCCATAAATATAAAGGTGAAGAGAACTGCTACAAACGTGAACATCTTCCACAATGATGTTGGTTTTTACTGCGCTGCTGTGGCCTGACAGTACAGAACATCCACCTTTTCAGAATGTTCCAGAGTCTAATTATCTGAAGGCCACAACCCTGGAACTGTCAAAGCGTATTTTCTCTGCATCGAGAATCGTTAAGCGTCTCCTTTTTTTTATGTCTTCCAGGTCATTTCACCGAGTTAAAAACCTTCGGAAGAAAATGTGACAACGCAGAAAGTACCAGGATTTATAAAAGCCGGGGTAAGTCTGAAAACTCCTTCACTGAACATTCACCAAAAACTGCAGCCGTGCTCGTCCAGGATGTTCCCCAATATATGGTGTGCATTTTTGTTGAGTACAAATATATATATGTATATGTGTTTATGCATATATATGTATGTATGTATATGTGTATATATATATATATGTATGTATGTATGTATATACGTATGTGTATATATGCATGTATGTATATACGTATGTATATATGCATGTATGTATATACGTATNTATGTATGTATGTACGTATATATGTATATAACTAAATATATGTATGTACATATATGTAAATATATGTACATATGTAAATATTTATACAGTAATTACTTAATACAGGTGGTAGTATTTATATTAGTATTTATTCTTGTCTAAATACAAGTATATTTTGGACCAGATTCTCACTCTGTGTCTATGAAACCCTTTCAAATGTAAGTTGTCTTCAAATTCACTTTTTCCTCCTCATAAGTTTCAGTAATGTACAAGTTATTCCAGCTAATGTGGGGAGTAATGATTAGTGGAGCCTTAAGGGAGACATGAATGTTTGATCAATGTGAGCCGATTACACAAACTAAGTCGGAGAGAAAGGATCCTAAAACGGCCAATTCATGAAACCATTTTTTTTCTTCCTCTCCATCGTTCACTCGGCTTTGTCAGTCTGTTGTTCAGTCGCTGTAGTCAGTCCAAAGCCGTCAACGTCAGGAAGGTTTGGCATCCATGCCTTACAGGAGCCTTCTCCTCTCATGCCTGTGTTAAAAATACAGTCCTGCGGGACCTGCTGTCATCCTGAGATTTTACTGAGATGCCTTTGAGCTTCCCTGCAGGCAGAGCAGAGCAGAGCAGAGCAGAGCAGAGCAGAGCTGGTTGATATCTGTGGCACCTTACAGACTCTGGAGTAAAAAAATAATGCGTGGGTTTAAAGGCACTGCTGTGTGTTTCAGTATATGCAGGGACGTGCTGTCAGACCATCATTATAACCAAAGCACAGATTAGTCTGTGGACTCTAACAACAAGACTCTAACACAGACGTACAGTTTAACAACTGTAAAAACTGTTTCAAAAATCCACAAATCCACAGAAGCCGACCCTCATCCAGCAGAGAATCCAAGACTGTGAGCACTTCAAATAAATACAATGCATTCCCTTACCTCCTACCCCAAACTAATGTTACAAATAAATCTCATTTATTTCATCTTTTCATGCACTCTAATCTGACCCTAATCCTAATCTAATCTGAAACCAACCTGAAACTTTGTAGAGACGTCGAAAATATGTCCCCACAGTGGAATAGTGTCTTCACTACAAAAGTGGTTTCCAAAACACTTTTATCATACACACTTTTTGTGTTTTGTTAGCCCTTCGCATAACCATAGTTCCCACAAAGGACTGTGTCCCCACAACAACAGTATTTTCTGAAAACACTGTCCTGGTTTAGTTGCCACAGGTATGAACACACACACACACATACATGTATTGTTTTTAGTAAACATTTTAGTTTGTGTAAACATAATATATGTATGTATATATATTAATATATATTTATATATGTATATATATTTATATATATTTATATATGTGTTTATATATGTATATATATTTATATATATTTATATATGTGTTTATATATGTATATATATTTATATATATTTATATATGTGTTTATATATGTATATATATTTATATATATATATTTATATATGTGTATATATATGTATACATGCATTAATGGTCATGAGTTGGTTCACATTAGACATACAGTATATGTATATGTACTGTATATATGTATATGTACTGTATATGTACTGTATATATGTATATGTACTGTATATGCACATGTCATGCATGTCTAATGTGACTGTGAACCATTCAAGCTCAGTCCAGTTGTAAGGAGATAACAGGCAATCAGTCACAATCAAAAACCTCACAGTGGAAAATCCCCACCAACCCTGTTGGCCCGGCTCCTGCACTGTGTCGTCATTTAGCCTTGACGGCCAAAAACCTCGCCTACAGCCTTCCATTCAGATGCAGCGTGAACCAGGGCATGAATAGTGAAGACACGGATTCAGAGGCCATTAGAATCACAAAGGCTCTGGGTTTTTTCCTGCATGCCTACACCTCCGAATGCACGGGATAAGACTTTCTCCCATAAAGGTGTAATACTGACAAGATAGCAAAGTGCTTCGACATCGCCCGACTGAGAGGCTGCCAGCTTGTGTATATTATCTCATGGACCACATAAAACCGTACAGCTCGCTACTGCACAGCCTGGCATTTAGTACTTTGCCTTTTTTTTTTCTCTCTCACTCTTAGAAAGACGGAGATAGAACGAGTATGTTCACTGATATGATGACCCAGCAAAAACAGCTTCTATCAGCACACACACGAACACACACGCGCACACACACTATTCATTGCAACCCAGACACACCATAATATGAAGCCGGACTAAACCAGCTGATGCCTGACGTACTGTTTAAACGTCAACGTGAAACCACAAGGCTTTACTTCTCATTTATTCATGTGTGTATTTCAGTTTTCTGCATTGTTCGATATATATTTATACACATATATATAAAAATATATAATATAAATATATGTATATATGTGTATATATGTATATATATATAATTCATCTTTCAAAGGGCTTTTTCATTTATTAAGTAAATCATTGTTAATAATTAATAATGTTCTATCTAGCCATCCATCCTTTTTTTCTTTTCATTATGCACCACTTTAGTTGCAATATGCAGCCTCACCACCAGATGTCACTGAAATGTGAAAGCGGTCATCTCTTACTGACATCTTAATGTTACGGCAGAACAATAGTGCTGCTTCACTGCAACCCATCAGACAGGATGTTTTTCTTCTTAACCCATGATGTTATTCTGTCAACATCCTCATATAACAGAGCACTTATATATATCTGCTATATATATATATATCTTCATATATATATATTTATATATGTATGTACTATATAAATCACCTTGACAACTCAGCAGACGTAAGGGGCATTGTTTAATTTAAACCAAATCCCAGATTACTGTGAAAGTTTTCTGTGAAGAACCTTCAGTTGATCAAATTTGAAGCACGAAGAAAGTGAAGATGTGAGTCTTAAATTATCTGGACAAAAGGTTTTGGCAAAAAAAAAAAAATGTCCCTCACAGATAATGGAAGAGTATTCAGGTTTAGTCATTGGCTTTTGAACAGAATTTCTTCTCTTTTCAAATGGTTTTGAAATTAGTTTCCCAACGTTTGGTAGTGATATTTTTTTTTTTGTGGTCAGATGCCACGTCAGATATTGGCTTTTTCCCAAGTTCAGGAAATAATTCCATTTCATGCATAGTTGAGTAATGATGACCTATGACCTCATGAATGTGGTGAAAGGCTTGTGTATCGCGTTAACCGACGGCGGCCACTAGGCCTCGGAGCCGATTGACCGAAACTTCCTACGACCGACGCCCCGGTCTTTAATTAATGCAGAGAGAAACTGACGGTGTTTACGCAACGCTACAAGAAAACTTCTTATCAAAAGAATCAAAGTACTCAAACGTGTATTTGTATTCAGAGTGGGATCAGAGGGACTGTGGCGCATTATCATCCAATTAGCTTATCAAAGGGAAACATTAACATGTTCTCTGCAGGCGCTGCGAAGGAATGTGACGGTTGGTGAAACTATTTAACACAAAAATCTACTCTCTGCACTGCATTTATGTCAAAAAGATATATATAGACATATATAAAGTATATATGTTGTATTTATGTATATTTATATATATATTTATATTTATATATGTATATATATATATCACACACACAAAGGCACATTATGAGCCACTGTGTCACCTAGACCTGAAGGACCTAAACACGTGGGATATATATGTGTGCGTGTTTATATAAACATATATGTTTACATATATACATATTGTTGTAAATATATGGCTTGACTTATCTATTAAAAATATTTATATATAACGTACATACAGTACCTGCTCTCTTGCAGTGTGGCTCTAAACTTGGGGAAAAGATGTTTTTCATTTGTGATTTTTTTTTTTAACCAAACCGTTCATTTCAAACTGACATTAATTAGAATAATTCATTTCAAACGAATCTTCTGAGATTCCGTGAGAGTCAGTGCCGTCCACCGTGCCAATATTTAGTTTCTAATTTGCCGTTCATCCAGGATCAGTGTTGTTGTTGTTGTCGTTCCGTTAAATTGTTTTGGGTTCGTAATTAAAGAATGAAACAACCGTTCACAACGATCGTGTTGTATAAAGACACCCAGATGAGCTGCATCTTGTTGTGTGTCAACGCTGATGTATTGTGGTCGTCAATAGTAGAGTGTAAGGTAATACTGCAGCTCTTTCTGTCACTCTCACAGAACAATGGACATGAAAAATGACCCAATCACAATTCACAACTTTGTTCTATTCTGGGCGTTTACAACAACTTTGAGCTCACAGACGGGCTTGGTTCTGGTCTGGTGCCATGGTCTGGTGCCATCTGTGAGGTTCTGGGGGCGACGACTTTTTTTTTTTTTTTTAGAGCAGTTTTTTTTGTTGTTGTTGTTGCCTTTTCTGCGTCTTTTTACACCACTTTTGGATCCGTCGTCAGAGCTTTCTGATCACCGTGGTGAGCAGCAAAAACAAGTATTAATTTGGAGCAGCGTCACTGCTGTGATGTGTTGGTTGAATGGATATGGATTAGATGCTAGCTGGAGATGTTGCACGTGTTTTCATGTGTACTCGTTTCCAAATACTGCAGTGATACTAATAGGATACATGATTCTTTCTCTCTCTCTTTTTTTTAATCTTTTTAAATTTAATTTTAAATTATTAAAATCCATTAATCACTTCCCAACCCTGCTTCTTTCACAAAACAATCTGTGTCTACAGTAAATCTTCCCTCACCAGTGAAGGACAGGGTGGAGAAACCGTCAACACAACCTGAAGTATTAAAAAAAAAAAAAAAAGAAAAAATTTGAATTTTAAAAAGCTTGATCGTGAACTATGATAAAGTCTGATAAAGGTCGTCGTGACCCTCGGTGTCAGGAACCTGTGGAGTAAACACAGGACAGCTGAGCGGGTTGGGGGGGGAGGCCTCGGGGGTCTGGGGGGAGGAGGCTACGCATGCATATGTTTTGTTGTGTATATGTGTATGTGTGTGTGTGTTTGTATGTGTGATTGGTTGGAGTGGGGGGTATTTAATTCATCTGTGGGTGTAAACGTCACCTGGACGAGTGGTCACGCTGCTGCGGGGGAGTATATATGCACACGGACGCTCGCCAACGGACACAACATCACAAGAAGAAGAAGAAGAAGAGTCGACTTTTATCAGGAGGACAGACAGAAGGAGACACTTTGGACGTCAATCAGCCGTCACCTGGACCATCACAGAGGTGAGTCTTGACTCCAGTGCTATTTTTAAATGCAGTAGTTTTGACACATGTCAATGTTCAAGGTTGACTGCATCACAGAACATCACAGAACATCACAGAACATCACAGAGAGGAGTCTGGATTAGGTGGATAGAAAAAGGAAAACCTCAGGAGGCTTTTGGCTTCATGTGAATATAATTCCAATTATTTATTTTTTTTCGCTTGAAACCACTGTCCTGTTAAGCCGTTGCTCTAGGTGGAACTTTTGTCCACATTTTTAGAGTTTGTTCATTAAGGCATAGAAAAATATTTAAATACTTTTGGAAATTGTCTCGAAACAAAGATGCACAATTTAAATGGTAATTAATGCACCAGAAGCAAAATGTGGTCATTTTTTAACAGATTAGTGAAAAAAGTTCTGGAATGTTGTTGTGATGTAGAACTGAGTCAGAAGAAAGTTCTCTCTCACATCAAGGATGTGCGGTTAAGAGTATGTCAACAAAGAGAAACCGTTAGAACGCAAACTTTAAAGTTTAAGTTTAAGATTCCTCTGTGCTAATTTGTAAAAGTCTTTTTTGTCATATTAATTAAATTTGTCGGTAACAGTAGAGGGTTTTTTCTAAGTCTGCTGATCCATTAAAGCCAGCGTGGGATGACTGGCCGTACTTCAAAGATGATCAAACGATAAAAACTTGCCAACCACTGCGGGATTATCTCTGTTTTTTTGGTTTGTTTTTTTTCCCCTCATTTTTCAAAAAGCTAGTTATGTGATCGTTGAGGCCTGAAAACAAAAACAGCAGCTTCAACTGCACTGATCATCTTGTCCTATTTCACACTCTTTAATAAGCACAGCGTGATCCAACCCAGTTGCGTTTGTTTGCATGACTTGGCAACAACAGTGGCCGCACTGGTTTGGAAACCTGGGTGAAGCCATTACTGCCAGTGAACCGTCGGTCAAACTGCAGACTTATGGGAAACCAGAGCAGGAACACGTTTGAAGATTTCATTGTTTGTGTGTGTGTGTGTGTGAGTGAGCAGCTGGTCTCTGGGCTGCAGTCGCTCTGATCATTTCAGTCAAACACCACAGTGAACAGATATGATCCCTGACACGTTCTGTTTTATTTAGATGAGTTGTTCAGAGCCGACGTTTCCGTACCGTTAACGTGAGCTCTGAGTGATTTGTGGCACCTTCACAAAATCCAATTAAATTCCAAACGGTGTGAACGATTTGTGACTGTAAATTATAGAATAGAATAAAAGCACCACAGTGTAACCGATTGGTTCCTGTACCAGTACGGTACCAAAAAGACCTCCAAAGGCTTCGAGCTTGATTTTTATGCCTCCGTCTTGGTTTCTAGGAGAAAGTAAAACTCCGATCACCTGAATATAAATCTTTTTTATGGTTCACATTTTTAGATCCTGACAAGGCAAATATTACTTCATTGCCTGATTTTATGACATGATCATAGAAAGAAATGACAGTATAGTCGAGGCCCGGTCACCCTGACTGAGTCACAAGTCTCAAGTCTATCACTGAGCCACATTAGTACCATAAAGTACCAGATTCCAAAGTGTAGCCAAAACCCTTTTTGAAAATTTCCCAGTAGTTCAGTGGAACCAAAGAAGTGGACCAAACCAGTGTATTTTGGTTTTTGCAAATGTAAGAGTGAGAGTGCTTGATTCCAAAGTGTAGCCAAAACCCTTTTTGAAAATTTCCCAGTAGTTCAGTGGAACCAAGTATTGGACCAAACCAGTGTATTTTGGCTTTTGCAAATGTAAGAGTGAGAGTGCTTGAATTCGACCTGTGAAAGTGTGAGTGAACCCTGAATTTTTATCTAATGCCCCTCGACGTGAGTGTCAACGCTGAGGAGAACAGCGTTGTGTTATTTTGTTCTTTTCCGGTTGGCGGCTCCAGGCACAGCTTTTGGCTGAGGGAAAATTCTTTAGGGGAATCGTACCACACACTGACAGGCAAAAGCTTAATGACTGTTTTCTCCGACTGACTGATGTGGTCGCCTCATAATGTGTTTGTCCTCTTTGTTGTGTCATAGGTTGCATGGTTGAAGACAATGTTTGAATCCTTGCACAAGCGTATCCAGGAAACCCTGGTGGAGAGGAGAACCCGCAGAGCCAGACTGGTGACCAAAGATGGCCGCTGCAACATCGAGTACGGAAACATCATGTACAGCAAACACTTTGCCTTCCTGGCCGACTTTTGGACCACTTTTGTGGAAATCCGATGGCGTTTTGTTCTTCTTACCTTCATTGCCTCCTTCACCCTCAGCTGGTTCATTTTTGGCCTGCTCTGGTACTGGATTGCTCGCAGTAATGGAGACCTGGAGTGGCAAAACCCAACAAAGGACCACGTCCCGTGTCTTGACAACGTCATGGGTCTCACCACAGCGTTTCTATACTCTCTCGAAACCCAGACGACGATCGGGTACGGAGGACGAGCTCTAACCGCGGTCTGCCCCGGAGCCGTGGCTCTGCTCATAATCCAGTCCCTGGTAGGAGCCATCATCAACTGCTTCATGTGCGGAGTCATCCTCTCCAAAATCTCTTTACCTAAAAAGAGAGCAAAGACCATCCGATTCAGTGAAATGGCCGTGATCTGCCCCAAGGGCAACTCTCTGTGTCTGTCCATCAGGGTTGCCAACCTACGAAAAACCCTGATGATTGGCAGCCAGCTCTACGGCAAGCTGCTGAGAACCACCTCCACGCCCGACGGGGAGACCATCATCATGGACCAGATGAACATCGACTTCATGGTGGACGCTGGGAAGGACAACCTCTTCTTTGTGTGTCCTCTCACGCTGCACCACATCATCGATAAGAGCAGCCCGTTTTTCGATATGGCGGTGGACACGCTCCACAAGCAAGAGTTCGAGCTGGTGGTTTTCCTGGACGGCACCGCCGAGTCCACCAGCTCCTCCTGCCAAGTGCGGACCTCTTTTATCCCGCAGGAGATCATGTGGGGCTACAACTTCTTGCCCATCATTTCCAGAAGCAAAGAGGGCAAGTACCGAGTCGACTTCTCCAACTTCTCCAGGGTGGTTCCTGTGGCCACAGCTCACTGCGCCTACTGCTTTCACAACATCAAGGGCCACCACCACCACTCCATAAACGGACAAGACAACCAGAGCTTTGAGGTGATCGACATCAGCGATCCCTCGAACGTCACCAAGTTGTAAAGTGATGCCGAACCACGTGAACCAGTAAACAATCTGGACCGGAGAGAGAACACGTCCTAAAGACCCTGACGTTTGTGGTGAACAATGCACTGTGTAGCATTTAAATGTGGGGAGAAGACTTAGTGTCGTTTGTTTGTTTGTTATCCAGTTAAGCCATCTGTGTGGGGGCTAGGACAGTTATTGTTCAGATCTGTATGTAACACCACGCCTGCCACTGTCTTTGAGCAAAAACCTGTTTTCAAAACAGAGACCAGGTCCATCAGGGAGGGCAAGTCTTTCAAAGTACTCTTCTGCCCTTGCTGCTTTTTAAGATGATTATCTTTGACCTTGCTCATGTCGGATCACCACCAGCTGAGAGACAGAGGCGAAGGAAGTGCATTATCCTCCGCACGTCCTACAATTACTCGAAGAACCATTTCTGTGGAGATACTGGAGAAAAAGTTATTCAATTATTCACACCACTTAAGGAACAAAAGGGAGGCGAGAGCCATTAGAGTATAAACTGGAACGGTTCAGACGCGGAGGCACTGAGGACCGGACTCAGGGACGAGTTGTTTAATCTTTGTGTGATGATGTCACTGTGGTGTTCTTGAATGTACCACAGGTTTTGAAGATTGTAAACTGAATGTCATTTTTTGTATGAAAAACATGACAAAATACACCGAAATAAAATATATTTTTGCATTAAGTTCCACTGCTGTTGTCGTCATTAGTTGTAAACTCAATGGCCTGATTATTACATAATGTCTGTTTTGTTTTGTTCTAAAGGTCAAATGAACACCGTGGCAGCTGCCGCCTCCTCGTCGTGGTATTAATCTGTAAACACAGAGAAGTTGTGACATCAAACAGGGATCAACACACGACACACTGATGGGGTTTGTTGTTGTTTTTTTTTTTAGGATAAAAGCCGTTGCTTACGACCCATTATTTTGCCTGCAGACTGTGAACATGACACCAGAACTCTCCATTTAAACACACTGTGTGCTAGCATGGGGCTTTGACAGGTGTTGCTCTGGGTGGACCTCCCACTGTGACCTCTTTAAGGCAGTGCACGCTGTGTCACTCAGAGACGGAGATGAGACAGTCGGCAGATGGATCCGTGTCTGTTCTAATGAATCAGGGGATACAAATGTGACGCAGACGCTTTGTTGACAACTTTTACCCATTTTTAAGATGATATTTTGTATTCATGGTATCTACTGATAAACCACTTTGCCAGACTGTCGCTGCCGTCTGAGCCAGATGCCATGTGTGCTCGTCTGCCAGTGGTTAGAATTTACGGCTGTATTCAAAAAGACGCTTGAAGGGTTCGCTAAATTCTCATATGGGTATTTGGATTGAATTCTTACACGTATCAAACACACACTACAACAATATTTGTGATTTGTGATGGTAAGACAAAAAATATATTTACATATATGTATATGTATATATATGAACATATATATATTTATATACATACATACATATATATACAGTATGTATATATATATGTATATATATATTCATATACATAGATACATATATGTATGTATATATATTTTTTATCTTACCATCACAAATTCTGACAGCTATCCAAGTGCAGCTTGCTAACAGAATTTCTACATATATATATCAAACATATATTTATATATATGTTTGATATATATGTATGTATACTTTTACACATTTTTGCCTATATATGTCTATATGCATGTATTTTTTTTTTGTCTTACCATCACAGATAGTGAAATCTACCCGTGTGCAGTTTGATGACTAATAACGACCAATAATAAATCAACAATAGTAAATGCAAACCTGGAGCTAAAGATTTTCTGTCTCCAGTGAAACCACAAAAAATCCAAAAAGAATGAGAGGTAAAAATTTATTTTGTCACATTTTCCTATACAAAAGCCTTTTTCCAAAAGGAATTCATACAATTCAGGAATGACAATAATAATAATAATAATTACAATAATACAAGGGTTAATTGTAAAATCACACACTGACACACACACACACACACACGCAGGTCTCCACTCACTGACACTCATGCGGTCACACACACATATAATATATTTTTATATACACGCGGTCACACACACACATATAATATATTTTTATATATTTGATATCCAAAATACATTGCATATATGAGTAGCACAGATCCCTTCATTGATAATGCTCGTGAAAAATGGAAGTAAAGGGTAAGTTACAATAATTTCTTTATGCTACAAATTAGTCGTTTTTTGTTTTAGTTTTTTTTTTATTCATTTGATCTTAAAAAACTTCTGGAGAGTTAATTCTAATACTGTTGGTGTTATTTTTTTTATTTTATTTTTTTATTTTTGCATAAAATACCCCAAAATTCTTCCCTGTACAGATCGGTGAAAGCTTCAAATCATTTGGTTTTCTACCTGAAAAAAAGGTGATTTAAAGTGGAAAGTAACTATGTGAGTATGTATATAGAGCGAAGAGAAAACCCTGGCTATTGGATTGTGATTATGATTCAAGCAGGCGTTTATGATCTTTGGAATACAAACATCTTCTGTGTGCATTTAGGATGAAACAACTGGATTTGAGAAACAACAACAACAATAATATGATATTAAAAAAAAAAAAAGTTAACATGTCCTGCCCAAATGTACAGATATAAAAATGCTTCGATGCTCAACACACTACTTATCAGAAATGGACTCAAAAGGTTTTGCATTTTGACCGAGGTCAACTCGTAATAATTATCTTGACTTTTATTTTCTTTAATACTGTGTCACATATGAAAATAACTCTGCATAATTTATACAGTAAGTTGCTTTAATGCCTAGTTTGATTGATGCTTATAAAATAATACAATATAGGTCTGACAAACGCACAGCGTTCGCGAATCTGAGGATTTTCTTGTTTCTAGTGTGTCATACGTCAATGGATTTTGTCCTCTGAAAAACTACTTCATTTCCAAGTAATTTATTTTCAAGTGTCCACTCTCTGTCAATCTGACCAAAGAGGGGAAAAAAAATCATCTGTGAACACAAACGCAGATATCTTTTTGACATGTTGCAAGGATGACGACGACGACGACGATGATGATGATGATGAAGATGATGCTAAAATCCTGACTTGAGTTGAGAATCACGTGCACGTGCAGGGCTTTAGATCAGTGAGAAACTAACATTCAAATATACATGCTGCTCTCAAACTAGGATCCAGCCCTGATTAAAACAAAAAACAAAAAAAATACAACGTGGCTTTCTACGCACAGATCTGTCCAATAAGCTTTTTTTTGGTCCTGACTGGCTTACGTGAGAAGGAAGGAGACACCGTGGCGGCCGATATCATCCGAGTGCACTTTAGCTAACCAAAGAAATGTCAAGATTTTCTGGTCAGATGTTGAAAATCATTTTTGTCATACGTTACATCTGTTACTGAAACAATATTCCTTAAGGAATAATCAGGAAAAATGTGGCACGGAACAGCAGTTAGAGGAGAATTCTTTTTTTTTTTTTCTTTTTTTTTTTTTGGCTTTTACTGTGTACTGCATGTCGAAACTACATCAGTGAAAAATATCCACCTCACCTCCAGCTACGTGAGAAAGGCACGGACTTGTTTGTCAACCAGACAAGTGCATCCATCAAGTTGGCTTTTCTTTTAGTTTGGTTTTATTTTGTTTTATTTTTCCTCATAAAATCATCCGAGGACTTTAGATTACGCTGCAGGGCACAAACCAGAAAACATTCACATTAATACTGACGCGGTTAAGTGACAGAAACATCCGGAAACGGCATGACTGCAAGGCGACAACATAGACAAACATTCAGTAGCCTCGTGTGTTTGGGCCCCTGAAAACATCCGACCAGGGTTCAAAACTGTTGGTAATTCCCTTCGGTCACATCTCGACTGTCGACCGTACGCTTCGATCACAATCTTTGGCCCCACACACGCATTTATAAGGCAATTTTAGTGACCCAGGTGAGCTAAACATACAGCGCTTCCCTCTTCGGCATTTCACCCTTCTCTGGCCTTCCAGTTAGGAGGATCAGTAAAATAGTGAGCGGCATATTCCAGTTGCCAGATTATCATTCAGTGCTGAGAAACGTCCATTTGTCGGCGAAGGTCCTCATTATCCAGTAAATTTCAGAGGACTCCGCACACACATAAAAAGACGCAGATGGACAGATGAACAGATGAGCCAGTGGAAACACAAGGGTAGATGAGATGGGAATAGGAAACCCCGACAAGGCTGTAGACGAGCGGAAAAGGCAGATGCTTAAAAGCATTATGTACATAATGCACTGGGGAGGATGTAGATTGAGACCCATCAATTACAGGTCCATGTCTGGTTCTGTTGCAGGGTGAGGAGGCGGACACACTCGGCCTGTTTCTCCTATCCTCCGGCTTTGGTTTGGATTGGGTTCAGCTTCCACGGGGGACGGGAAACAACGGCACAGGAACTCAGACGCACGTCCAAGAGGCTTAAGGAAAAAAAAATACACCAAAACACTTGCTAGTCTTGTAAAGGTAAGTAGTATTCCATTATGGAGCGTAGCATCCAATTGTTTATAAATTCTTACAAATACATATATATATATAAAAACTCCTTCAATTCAGTCGTCCTTCATATTGGAGCAGATTTTCTTCAGGGTAAAATCAGACCCAAATCAGTCTTCACTGGTTTGGCATCACTGAGAGCGCTGGTCAGCAATTGTGCACTCTACTGGAAGAGGAAGGGGGGTTTGGGAGGGGGCAGAGGGGGCTTTGGAACCTGAAGGGCAGATTCAATAGTAACTACCCAAATGAGAAGGCACGTGGGTGTTAGGGTGGCGAGGGACATTTGGGTTGGGGTAGATGCCAGCAGTGGGTGAGCTCCAGTATGGAGTAGTGGGTCCGAAGAAGTTGGAGGAGGTGACGGGCATGGACGGAGGGTGGGGGGACACAAAGTTGACCTTCTGTTGATGGGCGTGGTAGGAAGGCACGTAGGCGAGGTCTGAGGGGTACTTGTACATGGAGGACTCGGTGGGGTGAGGCTGCAGTGCCTGAGCGATCCCGTGGAAGTCGAACTTGTAGGCGTAGCGCTTGCCGTGCACCTTGGTCATGATGTTCTTGTCGTAGTAGTAGCGCAGCGCGCGGCTCAGCTTGTCGTAGTTCATGTTGGGCTTGCTCTTACGCTCGCCCCAGCGCCGCGCCACCTCGTCGGGGTCCGTCATCTTGAACTCGCCGTTGGTGCCCTCCCAGGTGATGCAGCCGGCGTTGGCGCTGTCGGACAGGAGCTCCAGGAGGAACTGCCACAGCTGGATCTGACCCGAACCTGAGCACAGACACAGACAGCCAATCAGCAATCACCTTAAAAACGATAACAATAAGTCCTGTTCGACAGACGCCCAGAGGGCGTGTTCTCTAACTCTCACCTGGATTAGCTAGACGACTACTGGTGGGTCCAAGGATCTGGTACGGGTCTGTGGACGGAGGGACGGGTTTTTAGTTCTACAACAATTAGCTTTAGCCTCTAAAGGCTTCAGTTGGAGACTTATGTCTGTGTCAGTAGTTTATAGATGTTATAATATGAACAGTATAACCCCAGACCCACACGTGTGATCAGCTGTTACCTGGCTGAGCTCTGGGCTGCTCATTGGATTTGGTCACATTCTGAGGAACCACTGGTGAGCCTGGGGAGAGAGAGAGAGAGAGACAGACAGAGGGGGTGAGAGAGAGATTAAAGGTCCCTTCATCTCGTCTCTGTTCTAACTGATACCTAGAGCGACTCCGTGAGCAGGAGTCAGCAGCTGTTCAAAGTAAATCAGGGAGCAGCGTTGGCTCCCTGTGAGCGTCTGTGGTCTGAGGCTACAGTCTCTGGGAATCTGTCCCACAATCACGTCTAAACGGTGGAACAGCCAATCGATGACGCACTTTAGGTTAAATCATTTTGGAGTAAATCCCACATGAACTCATATCTGCTCTACTAAAGTAACTGGCCGGTCGTGGGTTTTAAACATCACAAAACCTGGTGAAGGTTCCACCCGCACGAACTCATATCTGCTCTACTAAAGTAACTCAAACTGTAGCTAATGTGCACATTTCTTTGTATCATTAATTACCTTTGCCGCTGTGCATGTTGTTGGACCATCCTGATGACCTCCGTACAGCATCGTATGAAGGGTCTGGAGGAGACAGAGGACGTTAGAGATCACAGTCTGTTTCTGACTTTCTTGTTTTTTGGCAGGAAAACAAAAATCAAACTTCTTTCTCTACAAATTTATGTATTTATTCAAAATAATGTGTGTGTTTCCAACAACTCCGCTTATAAAACATTTTATCTCGGTACACCGCCGGACAGCCTCTCAGAAAACAACATTAGAAAAAGCGGCCGTGCCGGCGTCAGATGGACTCGGTGCCTCCATCAGAACGATGATGACGAGGAGGAGGAGGTTTTTTTTTTTTCAGAAATCTTTTCTGTGTCTGCTCATGAATTGTCACTTTTCAGTGGCGCTACAGGAAATGTAAATGTCAGAAAACAGTGACAGAAAACAGTGAGCTGAGCAGCTCAGGTCTGATGTGAATGTACACGTGCACGTACACGTGCACGTACACGTCTTGTGAACACGGGCCAGTTTTTGTACAATCCTTGACGAGCAGCCAGCTGGATTAGTTAGCCGTGTTTGCACCGACTGCAGTGTGAAGGTGAACGCTCTCGGTAACAATCGGTTCCTTCGACACGAGCTCAAAAAACTGTGGAGTGAAAAATCTCCTTTACGATACACACAGGTGATTATGGGATGGATTCAGTGTCGTGACTGTCAGGACTTTGCCCCGTGCTTGTATTTTCTCTCTTTCTTTTTTTTTTACTTAGTATTTGTTTAGCTTTATTGTTCATTTTTAATTTGTTATATAGTGCAATCATTGAGATGTCCAGTAGGTGGCAGTAATGTGATGTTTGGATTAGGTTAGATTAGATCATCTTGACTTGTTCTGATTTGAAAGGGTTAAGTAATACGTTAATGAGTTATTATTAGTTCTACAGTTTGTTTTTGTATGATTACGAGGTGAAAACACATTTTCATTATCTTATTAATTAACATTATTTTCTAAGTCTAATTTTTACGGCCTCATTTCCTCCTCAGTCCTGCGTTATTACAGTAGGTTCTGTAGGACTACGGTGTTCCTCGTTAGCACAACTCCTCCTACATCGTCCAATTAGTGCGTGTTCTTTTATCTGGACTGGAACCTCACCTCTGACCCCGAGTCATTTGATCTTATTGATTTCACTGTTAACAGAACACAAACGATTGACCCTCAGAGAAAATCAACCTCGTTACAGTTTAATTAGCAACAAATTCATAACAAGAACGACAGAAAATCTAAAATGTATCCTTGAAATAATAATAATATGTAAAAACACCACTGGTCAAATGTGGGGCAGAATATATATATATTTTTTTTTAACTCAGATCTATTTTCTCGTGTTGCATTCTGGGTGTGGTTGACAGGCACTAAAAACACGGGCCAAGAATGAGCAAATCTGAACTAAAATCTGTTTTCAACCCTGGTCAGGTTTCCACCAGACACATTAAGACGATTAGGCTTGTAGTTCTATGATTCTGCAATCGATTAACCCTCCCTAATGAGTGACATCATAGCTCTTGACATTATAAAAGCACGAGATGTGTCGGTTTTCGAGGCCGAACATTTATTTTGACCACAACTTTATTAGCCTTTGCATAAATCACCATCTAAAGGTCATGTGAGAAACATTTCGACTAGAAATACCTCCCAACTATTTATCTGGACCTGATGGCCAATTTAAAAATGTAATTTTCTTCAGTTAAACGACACAAATCTCAACGTTTGCCCTTTAAACAGCGACACCGCTCTGCACATGTGGAGGTTCTTCATCTCCATCGTTTAGGTCTGTGTTTTTAAGCCCGACTGTGAATCATCCATTAGCATCAACAGTACGTGCACGGCATCGTCAGCAGCTACTTTTCTAAACACTGTACAACACTGCCCTCCAGTGGACCACAGCGTGTTCGCACCTTGATTTCCGGTGAAACAAAAATTGAACTCCTAAATCCTAAAATACCTTTAATCTCGTTGTTAATTCAGACTTATCGCGATAAGTTAAGTGTTGATTTTGCAAAGAAGTAAAACAGGGAAAAATATATATTTTAGGGGTGAACATTTCTGACAAAAAAAATAGAATATTGATTATACTTTTTGTTTTAAAATTTTATAACCACCTTTTTTGACTTAGAACAAAATCGACAGATTTTGTGATATTTTTACAGTAATTCAAAACTTTTTTTTAACTTTTAACCCCAGTTTCAACACATTCCTGTTGAGGTCTGTGTGAATGGGCAGAAGATGCAGCAGTAAATAATGTATGAAGTTAGAGAACTGCAAAAAAAAAAATCCATCAAAACACTGATATATATATATATATATATATAAAAATAGGGCCAGGAACAAGGGCAGTGCATGGGTTTGAGGAGGGGAGAAAAAAAATAAAAAAGACAGAGAAAGGTAAAGAAGGGACATTTAACAAGTGGGCTGCCGCGGCTCAGCAGGGCTGTCAGGTCCAATCTGGTGTGGGCCGACGGGACGGCCAAGAAGCCGGGACTGGGGGAGAGTCCTGGGAGACTTACGTTTCCTGCCTGCCTCGCCTGCAGACAACCTCTCTTTGTTTTACTGGCCCTTTTTTCCCCTTTACTAACACCCCCCCCCCCCCCCCCTCGCCCCCCCTCCCCCCCCCAAACAACATACACAACGGGGCTACCTCCATGTATGCGTAGAAAGGAGGGGTGTGTGTGTGTGTTGGGGGGGGGGGGGTACAAACAGAAGGGGAGAAAGGCGAAGGAGAGGGAGAAGTGGGCCGACACAGACGGGGAGAAAAGGCATGAATAAAGAAAGAGGAGAGGAAATTTAAGAGAGGGAGGAAGAAAAATAGTAAAAAAAAAAAAACCCCGGAGTCAGACGAGGCACAACTTTGGAATCTGAAAAGAAAACACAAGCAGCAGCAGCAGCAAACTCAGCTCCTGTCTGGTTCAGGCTGCAGCGGACACCCAGTCACGTGATGGAGCTGTTGGCCGCAGACCACGTCGTCACAATCAGCCAATCACCAGCGAGAATACAGAGACAATTTACACTCGGACTCTGCTCTGGTTAAAAGGGTCGTTTGTAAACATGGACGTCGACGTGCAGGAGGAGGAGGAGGAGGAGGAGGAGGAGGAACTCGACTGGTTTGGGGGCACGCAGTTCGAGCTGGCTTGAAGAACGCAAAGACGCAAACACACACACATACACACAGAGCTGCCTCATCTCCAACCCCCCGACTGCCCCCTCCACCCTCCCCCACCCCCGACTCCCTCCTCCATCCTCCCCACCCTCCCCCCCTCCCGCCTTCATTTTTCCAGGCCTCACTCTGACTGAGACTTGAGCCAGTTTCCACTCTGGTCTGGGGTGTGGTGCACGCTCCTGGGAGACTTCGACTGCAGGACCAGTTAGTCAAAACAAGGCCCCAGCGCTAGACTGGAAGACAGACGGACAGACGGACAGACGGACAGACGGACGGACGGGGGAGAGAGAGAGAGGAAGACAAAGACCAAGCAGAGGCAGTGAGTGGGTGAGTTAGAGAGAGAGAGAGAAAGGAAGAGAAGAGGTTTTAACCTGTGGACCATTTTTAACCCTGAGTCTGAGCCAAGGAAAGAAAACCCAGACAGGATCCAGATTTTTTTTATGCTTAATAATACAGGTGCTCTGAAGGACTCTGGGAGAGAGAGGGAGGGAGGGAGGGAGAGAGGGAGGGATGGAGACAGACAAGGAGAGGAGAGTTGTTTCAAAGTATAAATAAAAGGCCGAGGTGGGACGAACAACAGGAATCAAAGAAACGCCGACACAACACGACCCGTCCCGTCTCGTCTCGTCTCTGCTCTGAGCTGCTGAGGTCTTAGTTTTTCATCTTATATTTTTCTCATTTTTTTTCGTATAAACTCCAGAGAAGGAACTGCAGCACTTTCACACATGTACTGCCCCACTTCAAAGTGCACTGCCACTCTGACTTGGCTGCAAAATGAATGCGTCCAAAGAGGTGAATCATCATCATCATCATCTTCATCTTCCCACATTAGGCCTAGAAGCTACGGAGAATATGAGTGTTGGTGCTGCAAAAATAAATAAATAACAAACTGAAAAAAACCCCAAAAAAAACCCAAATGTCAGCAGTGGCACAAACACAAGAGGAAAAAAGAAATATTGAAAAGGTTGTAAATGTACCAGCTCAGGGTGAGAGGATAATCCAAAGACAAACTGAAGCCGAGCGTGAACTCAAACATCCGTGTGTGACTGGACAATAACTACAGTACGTTATTGAAAACAAATTCTGCTTTAGAACTCATAGGAACTTTCCTGCGTCCACACACACACACACACACCCTCTCTCTCTCTCCCTCTCTGTCTCTCTCTTTCATAGCCGCTGCATCTCGTGTTTTATACGCTCTCTTTTATTCATAACATTGCATTTTACACCACAGAGTCTGGAGCAGATTACGGCTCGTCTCCTGCTGTACGCGGCTGCTTACTCTACCCCAAAGAGCCTGGATGGTATTTGACTGCTCTCACAGGGCAATATGAACACCAACATCTGGCAGCACTGATCTGTGGAAATGTTAATATAGGCTTCTCCTGCAGCAGCGACACAAAACTCCCAGAATCCACTTTGATATTCTGTCCTTTTTTTTTTTTTTCTCCTCGTCACTTGTCTCAAACAACAATTGGCGTGGATTTACGGCCGTGGACGGTGTGTGTGTGTGTGTGCAGTAGTGTTTGAGTCCTGTGAAAAAGGAAATGCTGCTGAAGGGAGTGACGCTCTGTTCCTGCCAGTCCAAATACCTGGCTCTGAGAACCAGGAAGACCAGGGTCGGGAGGTGACCCAGCAGAATCTTATCAGGCCTGCCCGCCGCTCTGGTCGTACTGTGGCCCGGGGCGTGAACAAGTGCGGGGCCTGCTAATGCTCAGCGCCGGGGCAGATGGAGAGAGAGAGAGAGAGAGAGAGAGAGAGAGGCTGAGGACATTCTTGGACACTTATCAGAGCCAGTGTTTCCTCTCCTCCTGCCTTGATACGGCCCCTCATCCTGTGGCCCGGGCTATCGTTGTTGTTGCAGTCCTCTCTGGTGACACCATATAGCCGATGTAAGGGATGTTTTCGGGGTTTTTTTTTCTTTTCTTCTCTTCTTTAACAGATAGGCGGCGCACACTGTCGTGTCAGCACATAATGGTGTTTGTAGAGTGAGAAGGTCTCCAGAGGACGGAGACAATCATCTCCAGCTTCTGGACCATTGTTCTCAGAGCCGGAGCGTTAGCAGGAATTTTAAGTCGTCGACAGTTTCAATGATACGCTGCTGTTTTATTGTTTGGACAAACAAACTTCAGGATTCAGGTGTTTGGGCCAAAAGTCAGAGTCTGTATCGATCTGACGTTTATCGTTTCTGCTCGTTTCGTATCGTTACGTATCTTCTAAGATCGCTGTATTAACAACAGATTGTTGAACTGTGGATCTGCGGCCGTTGTTTCACCGTCAACTCACGACCAAATTGATTCTCACTGACGTCTTCTGATCGGATCTTGTTTTTATTTCTTCTTATTGTCTTTTTTGTTCTGTCCGTAGACCGTATGTATAATCTGGAACGAGCTGCTCCCGGTGCAGGTTGTTGTTGCAGAGAGAATTCTCTGCTTGTTCTAAAAGTGATGTAGTGTTTATAGTTTATATGTACGGTTATATGTACAAGTTCTTTAAAAAATGATTTATTTATAATATTTTTTATTTAAGTTTGGTTCAGACAAAACAAAACCTCAGTTGATGAATCTGATTGGTCAGTGTATAACCAACATCCAGTTCTGCTCCAGACTCCACAGTCATCATAGACTTATATATTTATAATGCATATAAAAAGTCTATAAAAACAACAACTTTAAACTCTAAAATCGACCGTAAAATAAAAGTCTTCCTACCTTCTTTGGCAGCCAGTCGAGGGGATTGGTCTGTGTGAGATGGAGTGTTGTAGGATAACGATGAGCTACCTGGGAAAATAACAACAATAATTACTGTAAAATCCATTAGAATATTATTGAATTAAAAAACTATTGGGTTCAATATGAGCAGAAGCCATTTAGTGTTTTCAAAAACAACAAAAATAATAATAATAATAAAGTACATTTACAAGGATGAACTGGAGGAAAAAATAAAAGTCAAACTCCCAGAATCCTCAGTGAAATGAAGGTGACCAAAAGGTCAAATTGTGTAATAAAAGCCAGTAGGGGGCAGTAGAGGTTCCAGCTCAGTTACAGTCTAACGGCACTAAAGAGCCCATTTCATTTTCTTGAATTGTCTTCCCAGTATGTGCTTAAAAAAAAAAAAAATCATCTCAGAAGGAAAATAAGTCATGACACATAAATCCGATCCCAAACTGAAGTGAATCCAGCGCACAGTCAACACAGACAAACGCTGGAAAAAAAAAAAAAACCTGTTGCTCGTCAGCATTTTTTTTAACAACGGACCCAACTCCTGAATAATAAAGTCAGGGAGGCAAGACTGTGCATATGGCGACCTATTCATTTCACCTTATGGAGCAGAACTCAGCGCTGCATTCCTGCACTCACTCAGGCACCCTGGGCGGCACCAAAATGCTCCCTTAATTTTAGCTGCCCCCAGGCATAAATCAAGCAGTGGAAAAACAGACCCAAAAATGCACAGTGAAAACACAAGGCGGCCACTAGACAGAAAGTGTGAAGACCTGGCTGGGGGGGTAGTTGGGGGGGGTTGATGACTGCGGTAGATCAACTAACTAGGGTAAGAACTGCACCTCTGAGTTAACCCTCTCCTCTGACTTACCT